ATGTAGACTTACAGAAGACCTTATCCACCATTGTGCTATCTCACACAGTATTGGCTCGATCAAGGGACTTACTTCACAGCAAATGAAGTGTGACAATGGGCTGATGCTCATGGAATTCACTGGTCCTACCATGTTCCTCATCCTCCTGAAGCAGCTGGTTTGACAGAACAATGGAATGGCCTTCTAAAGACACAATTATGGTGCAAGCTAGGTGGCAATACCTTGCAGGGTTGGGGCAATGTTCTCCAGGAGGCTGTATATGCTCTAAACCACTGTCCAATATATGGTGCTGTTTCTCCAACAGCCAGGATTCATGGGTCCAGGGACCAAGGGGTAGAAATGAGAGTGGTACCACTCACTATCACCCCTAGTGACCCACTTGTAAAATTTTTGCTTCCTGTTCCTGCAACCCTGTACTCTGTGGGTCTAGAGGTCTTAGTTCCAAAAGGAGGCATGACACTGATTCCACTGAACTGAAAGTTAAGAGTGCCACCACCCAGCCACTCTGAGCTCCTAGTGCCTTCTGAATCAATAGGCAGAGAAGTAAGCTACTGTATTGGCTGAATGACCCCAACTACCAAGGGGAAATCAGATTGATAGTACACAATGGAGGTAAAGAAGGGTACGTCTGGGATATGGGAAATTTCCTAGGTTGTTTCTTAGTACTACCAAGCCCTGTGATTAACAGACAACTACAGCAAGCCAATTCTGATATGACTGCTAATGGCCCAGACCCTTCAGGAATGAATGTCTGGGTCACCTCACTAGGTAAAGAATCACAGCTAACTGAGGTGCTTGCTCAGGGCAAAGGGAATATGGAATGGGTGGTGGAAGAAGGTCGTTCTAAATACCAGCTTCAACCACGTAACCAGCTGCAGAAATGAAGACTATAAGTGTTATGAGTATTTCTTCCTTTTTTACTATGTGTGTGTGTGTGTATATGTGTGTGTGTATATATATATATATATATACACACACATATGGATACGTATACATATACACACACACATATATAGCAAAGAGTTTTGTTTTCTTTCCTTCCTTATCCCATGACTTGTAAGATATAAACAGGGCTAATACATTTTTGGTTGTACATGTGTTAGTTGTATCATGTTAGGCTTAAGTATGACTTTAAATTTATCTTTATTGAGAGATCATGTATAGTTTAAGGAGATGTGTACAGGTGCCAAGTTGACAAGGGGTGGACTGTGATTGTTACTGTTACATGTCAACTTGGCTAGGCCCTGATTCCCAGTATATGCAATTACTCTCCATTTTGTGATCTAATATCAGGGGAGTTTCCTTGGGGATGTGGTCTGTAACCAATGTATACAGAAGTTCTGCAAAGTTCTCTCTTAGCCTATCATCTGACCTGCTGATTTTGGGTTTGTCAGCCCCTGCAACTACGTCAGGAAAAGCTGCCAGTCAGCTGCCTGACCCACAGCTTTGGGGCTTGTGAGGCTACCCAACTGCATGAGCCGTTTCCTTGAGATAAATCTCTCTCTACATACCTATTTATATATATACACTTCACTGGTTTTGCTTCTCTAGAGAACCCACCCTAAGACATGAGGGGAAAGTATTGAGAAGGGGAAGGTGTGGGGCGGGCTCTGTCACATCTCGAAGGGGGCACCTTCCACCAGATGGGGGGCCCTGCTGACAGAGGTAGGCACAGCTAGGTCTCGAGGGGTCCTGCAATGTGGCCAGCCCCACCCAAGGAAGTGTGGCTGCACCCTGGGTGCCCAGTCTCCACTGAGCAACAGGAGGGAGGGGAGGAGGCTGGTACAGAGGATCCCTGCTCTGTCCTATGGGTGCCCAGCCAAGCTTAGCATGAGGGGGGCTGCTCACTAACACTAGTTCTCAACAAAGACATGCGTACCAAGCTGAGTGGGGCCAAACCCACTGTGAAACCAGTCGTTTTGCTGTCTGGGCGGCTGTGACCTTCGGCATTCCAAGGTCAATCAGCAAGCCCTCACTACTTACTCAGCTTCTCTCCTCTCACCTGGTGGCACCAGCTTGGGTGAGCTGGGCCCTGCACGGCCCTTCTGCCCTGAGAACAGGCCTCATACACAGGCCCAGGAGGGACGGCTCCCAGCTAGGAGGCAAAACTCCTGTGGGCTGCCACCAAAGGGGAGGATGGGACAGGAATCCATGGCCACCTCCCTTAGCCAGAAGCACACAGAATTAAATGTCTCTGAGCACTCTTCCTGCTCTTGGATTTAATCGCATGTGCTGTCCCCACCCCCACGGCTGTGCCTGGGAAAAGGGCAGACATCCATTTTCTTGTCTGGGACAATGCTGGCCTGCAGGGTCTGGGGAGGGCGACTGCCAGTACCAGAAATCAATCATGCCTGCTAACCAGTATTAGATCGCATCTCAGCCAATTCCAAACTCCAGTCCCACACTGCACATTTCAGAGGTGTTGGGGTGCCTAGTGGGCATCTAATCTCCTCTTCCCATCTCCTGAGCCCAGGGGGAGGATCAGGGCTCATAGAATCTTCCAGAAGGCAGCTGACCAGGAGAGTAGCTATCAGAAGCAGCCTGCCTTGGTCAGAGGCAGGGCACAGACATCTGGCCCTGGAAGATCATCTTATTTTGCCAACTAGCACAGAAAGATCTGAGAGACAGTGGAGTTGTCAAGGCTATCGTTTACTTGGAAGCAGCAGTCAAGACATCAGCTGTCATATTGCACTGGGAAACTCTGCTGCTAAAGGTTTCTTTAAAGTGTCAAGGAGCAGTGATGTCACTTTGAGGACTCAAGTGCATCAGACCCAAGCCACAGTATTTTCAATCACCTCATATGCATGTGAAAGCTCGATAATGAATAAGGAAGACCAAAGAATTCCTGCATTTGAATCATGGTGCTGCCCAAGAATACTAAAAATACTATGGACTGCCAGAAGAAAGAACAAATCTGTCCCGGAAGCAGTACAGCCAGAATGCTCCTTGGAAGCAAGAATGGCCAGACTTCATCTCACCCACTTTGGTCAGGAAATTTAGAAAACAGTTTAGCTGGCCAACTGACGGGAAGAGATCCTTATGTGTGCCCATTCCAAAGAAAGGTGATCCAACAGAATGTGGAAATTAGCTAACAATATCATTAACAGGACACACAACTAAAATCTTGCTGAAGATAATTCAAAAATGGTTGTAGCAATATATGGGATAAGGAACTTCTAGAAATGTAGCTGGATTCAGAAGAGGACGTGGTACAAAGGATATCACTGCTGATGTCAGATGGATCCTGGTGTAAGCAAAGAATATCAGAAAGATGTTTACCTGTGTTTTATTGACTATGCAAAGGCATTCGACTGTGTGGATCATAACAAATTGTATTCATGAGGAACCTGTACATAGACCAGGAGAAGGTCGTTTGAAGAGAACAAGGGGACACTGCATGGTTTAAAATCAAGAAGGGTGTGGGTCAGAGTTGTATCCTTTCACCATACTTATTCAGTCTATAGGCTGAGCAAATAATCCAAGAAGCTGGACTATATGAAGAAGAACATGGCATCAGGATTGGAGGAAGACTCATTAAACAACCTACGATATGTAGATGACACAACCTTGCAGAAAGTGAAGAAGACTTAAAGCAGTTAATGATGAATATCAGAGACTACAGCCTGCAGTATGGATTACATCTCAACATAAAGAAACCAAAAACCCTCATAATTGGACCAATAAACAGTATCACGTTAAACAGAGAAAAAATTGAAGTTGCCAGGGGTTTCATTTTACTGGATCCATCAACATTCATGGAAGCAGCAGCCAAGTAATCAGATGTCATATTGCACTGGGCAAATCTGCTGCAAAAGACTTCTTCAAGTGTTGAAGAGCGAAAATGTCACTTTGAAGACTAAGGCCATGGTATTTTTAATCATCTCATGTGCATATGAAAGCTGGAAAATTAATGACTAAGGAAGACCAAAGAAGAACTGACACTTTTGAGTCGTGGTGCTGGCAAGAATACTCAAAGTACCATGGACTGCCAGAAGAACTAACACATCTATCCCAGAAAAAGTGCAGCAGGAATGCTCCTTGGAAGAGAGAATGACCAGATTTCATCTCACCTACTTTGGAGAAGCTCTGGTAGCGTAGGGCCTAGGGCACTTGACTGCTAACCAGAATACTGGAGGTTCACCCCCCAGCCACTCCTTGGAAGGAAGATGGGGCAATCTACTTCCGTAGTGATACTATCTCGGAAACCCAAGGAGGGCTCGCTATGAGCCGGGTCTGACTCAATGGCACATAACAACAAAAACTTTGGTCATGCTGTCACAAGGGACTAGTCCCTGGAGAAGGACATCATGCTTGGTAAAGTGGAGGGTCAGTGAAAAAGGGGAAGACCCTCAATGAGATGGATTGACACAGTGGCTGCAACAATGAACTTAGACATAGCAATTGTGAGGATGGTGTGGGACTGGGCAGTGTTTCGTTCTGTTGTACATGGGGTCGCTATGAGTCAAAAGTGACCAGATGGTACATAATTACAACAAGAGTTTCCAGAAAGCTGTGGAATGTGTCACTGGTCCTTCCTGGGCCCATTTCTCACTGTGGTCAGTGAGGCAGGCGTATACTTCAGGGATGAAGGGAATGGAAAAAGTGCCCCATGGAACAGTAGGCTCTCTCCAAGCTGCAACCATTCCCACAGGGGCCCTGCCCTCAGCTCACCCACTAGGGTCCCCTGGATGCACCCTGGCCTCCCTCCAGTATGGGGGGGGCTGCTGTAACCTTTAAGTGGCCCAGAGCACTGGGATGTTCTCCTCCATAACCAAACCTTCCCCAACCAGAGTTGAGTGGAGCCCCCAACTCCATCACAGAAGGGTGGAGAAAGTCAGGATTTGGGGGCCACACACACAGGCTGCCCCAGCTGTGCCAGATCGCGCCATGTCCTGTAACCCCTAAGAGCAGCCCAGGGCCTGCGTGGAGCAGGCTGCTGCTCTCCCTCGCCTGCACCCTCCTGCGGGCCCCGCTGCGGAGGACCGACCGGCTGCACTCACTGGCATGGACCTGCAGGCAGCACTTGGCGCAGGAGATAAGCAGGCTGGTGCCATCATCACCGATGTAGGAGTTGGCAGGCAGCGGCTCAGTGTTCTCACCACTCGAGGTGAAGCACATCTCAGGAACCAGTGGCCGCGTCTTCTGGCCGCTTTTGGAGAGTGGTGCGGCAGCTGTGGGGCCTTCCCCAAGTGCAGTCTGGGGTGCCTCTTTCTCGGGCTGGAGGGACTGCAGAGGGAAGGGGCTGCCATCAGTAGGTACTCAAGACCCTGTTGGGACTGCGGAGGGACCCCTTTTCAGGGTGCCACATGGCCCTGCAATCCCCAACTCCAAGGGCACGCCTGAGCCAGTGTGTGGGGGGCACCAGCAGTGCTGACCAAACAAGCTTCCATACCTTCATGATGGGGCCTGAGACCCTGTCCTCCTCTCCTCTCCCCATTTCTAGAAAACCCTGCCAGCTCCAAACACCCCCATAGCCTCCTCCTCACCCCTACCGTCCCACCCAGCCTCCCAGGCCCTCAGGTCCTGCTCTGGGCAGCCACTAGCGACTCCAGCAGCTCCTGTCACCTCAGCAACACGTCCAGGCTCAGTACCGACAGACTGCTGCCCTCCCCCTCTCCCTCTCCCCCTTGTCCCCTTTGCTTGGGCGCACAGCCTCCTGCTCCTGCGTCGGGACCTTTGCACAGCCGTGCCCTCTGCCTGGGGCACTCGGGTTTCTATCCCCGGGTGCTTCACGCAGCTGCCCACCATGTGACCAGCCCCCTCAAAACCTTTCCCTGGCCGTCTGTCTTCATGGTGCTGACCATCACCTGGGCAGTTATCTGGGCACTTACTCTGGCTGTCCCTGCTCACCTGCACTGCGTGATGGCTATATCCCCCATCTTACGAAGGAGCCTCCTAGACCCACCCCTCAGCAGAAACTTGCTCAATGTATGAATGAACAAGCACGGAGAGGGTGATCACAATGCCCAGTCCACAGCACCAGAATCCAAGTAAGCCATGCCAAGCCGCCGCGGGGAGCTCTGGCTGTGTCGGCTTGCCGGGGGGGGGGTGGCTGCAGAGACGAGCCGCCCAGACCCCCAAGCAGGGAGGCTCCACCTTTTGTGAATCCCGTCCGGGGCTTGGGTACATGTAACAGTCTCTGGGTCTGACTGCGACCCAGAGACAGGGACGTATGAGCGGCATGGACACCCAAGTGTCTGATTTAGGGGGACTGGGACCTCCCTAAGGAACTCTGGTGGTATAGTGGTTAAGGCATTTGGCTGTTAACTAAAAGGTTGGTGTTCAACCCTATCAGCCACTCCACAGAAGAAAAATGAGTCAGTCTGCTTCCATAAAGATTTACAGCTTTGGAAACCCAATGGGTGTTGCTAGCAGTTGGAATGAACTTGATGGCAGTGAATCTGGTTTGGTTTTAGGACCTCCCTATAAGTGGTTAAGGCAGGAGCTGCACTCACCAGTCCCTGGAGGATGGTGGCCCACCAGGGGGCGGATGTGAGAGTGCCAGGATCCCACATCCCACAGCCCTGCACACTCACTTGGCCCTGTATACCCAAGGCTCATCCATGGCCCCACACACCCACAGCTTCACATGCCCATGGCTCCACACGCCTACAGCCCTGCACACCTGTGCATCTAGAGATGCCTGCACCTCCAAGGAGGCCCTGGCCTTCACACAGAGCCATGACTGCATCATGTCTGTGTTCACTTCTGCACAGGTGGTGGCATCTAGCCCAGCAGTTCTCACTCATGAGAACAGTGGGGACAGGATGTAGTCAGTAACACTACATGCAGGCATTGGGGTGGCCACCTCCCAGGGCTCCAGAACACGGCAGCAGCTGCCTGTGCAGCCATTCATAACATGTGCTTTCGAGGTGGTTCATGATTAAAGCTGGTCACTACAGCTCCACTTGGCAACCGTTGTTAAGAAGATTTGTATTCCAACCAGAGTTCCCAGACTGTGACATCCAGAGGCTTCTCTGGCAACACAGGAGGGCTGTGTGGAACTAACACCTCAAGGATGCATCATACTCGTCACAGTGGCCAAATGATGAGGTCCCATCTGGAGACACAGCGCCGGCAGCTTTGCAGCTGACCACGTGACAGGCTCCCAGCCTTGGCTTGGGCACCTGGACCCTCATCAGCTCCCACTGCCCTAGACCCCAGCACACAGCCCGGGGTGCAAGGTCCACTTGGATGACTCCACTAAAACATGTCTGGTGTCAGGCTGGGTGCTGGGATGCAGGACAGGAGATATGGCCCTGACCCCTAGGACTTGTGGTCGAGGGCCGACAAACACGGTGGGGCCGGAGCACCGGCAGAAGCGTGTACAGGTGGGGGTGGCAGGCTGGGACAGCAAGCAGAGAAGGCTTCCTGGAAGAGGTGGACTCAATAAACAGTAATCAGCCTGGCAAGGCAGGCAAGGGGGCTGGGTAGGCAGGTGGGAACTGTGTGGTGGGGGTAGATGTCACAGCAGGGGAGGGGTCTGTAGTTACGCTGGGGGCTCATGTTCAACCTGGTGGGTGGGGAGAGCCCCGGGAAGGGTGCTTAGCCCTGGCTGGGCATGGCACGTGGGCCCAAGTCCGCAAAGCCCACGCTGCTGTGATGAGCAGTGGAAGAGTAAGGAGGCAGGGGCAGCCATCCAGGCGAGGAGGAAAGAGCTGGATGACAGGCTGTGGCTGGGGAAGGACGGACTCAGGAGATGCCACAGTTTCCCATTGTGACACCTCATCCCTCATCAGGCCCCCCGGGAGCCTCTTTTTTAGGCCAGAATCTGCAGTGTTGAGTTGATCCTGACTCCTAGAGAACCCCACATGTTACAGAGTAGAACTGCCCACAGGGTCCTCCAGTCTGTAATCTTTATGGAAAAAGCTTGCCAAGTCTCTTCTCCCGAAGAACTGCTGGGCGGGTTCAAACTGCTGAGCTTTCAGCTAACAGCCAAGTGCTTAGCTGTTGTGCCATCAGAGCTTTCCCTTTCATGCCTAAAAACATTTTGGTAAAATATGTGTAACAGAACGCCAGCCACTTCGACTGCTTTCACACGTGTGGTTCTGCGACTTGTACACCCGTCAACACTCTTAGTTTCCAGATCTTTCCATCACTCCACACAGAAGCTCGATGCCCCGAGGCAGTACTGAGAGTTCTCTGGAGGCACGGCGAGGGGCTGAGCAGGGGCAGATGAGCCCCACAGACCGGCGGTGGCGGGTGGCGCTCACCTGGAGCACTCACCTGGCTGTAGGGGTAGAAGAGGATGCAGACTGCACAGTACGGCTTGGTGAGCGCGGCTGCTGTATTGAACTTCCTCTCCGCCTGGAAGCTGGCCGCTTTGTTCTTCCACTGCAGGGAGAGCAGCGACTTCAAGGCCTCGGGGTCACTCACATCCTCCTCTCCAGAGAAAGGAAGAGCTTCTGGAACGGAACAGGTGGGGCAGGAGGAGACAGAGGCTTTAGTCCCATTCAGTGTCATTCACCAGAGAGCCCTGGAGCCAACAAGCTGCAGAGCAGGTCGCCAGGGCCCCACCACCTCCCAGCCTTTCAAGTCCAGGTCATGGCGACTCCCTGCCCTCCGCCCTCAAAGGCCAGCTGTCAAGTCGACTCAGACCCAAGGCACCCCCAGGTGTGTCAGAGTAGAACTGGGCTCCACAGGGTTTTTGGTGCCTGGTTTTTTGAATGTCAATTGCCAGACCTTTCTCCAGAGGCACCTCTAAGTGGACTAAAACCTCCGGCCTCCCAGTCTGCAGCAGAGCACCCTAACTGTCTGCACCACCCAGGGGCACCTCAGCCCTCAAACCCTCCCAGAAAAGCCTGAATCACCTCCTGGCTGACTCTTCTGCCCCCTCCCCCGGTCCCTGGCCCAACTCCCCTGCCACCTGAATTCTTTGCTCATGAGGACACTCTCCCTACAATGCTCCTTCTGCAGGTGAAGGTGAGAGAGGCATCCGTGAAGCCTGGGGCCCTGCAACCCTGTCTTGTGCCCAAAGGGGCCTATCAGGTGAGGAGGGAGGGTACCGTGAGGCACTTTCTGGCACGAACGGCTACACAGCCTCCTCCCCATATCCAGTGTGAAGTGGAGGCCACCCGCTATGCCTGCCCGAGGCCAAGCTATGGCTTGGGCCCTTCGCGCAGTTCCGTCTGCTTCTAGAACACCACCTGTTCCCAGCCCCAAATTAGATTCAGAAGGAAGCCTCCCAGACCATTTTCCAATTCCACGTGCATCTTAAACGGCAGGCTGGCACAGAAGAGGGGAAATTGGCTTAGCAGGGCCTCTGTACAGAAGACAGCAGCTCCTGGCTGAGTGTTCGACAGAAGGTTCTCCAAGCCCCCCACCCCAATTTGGAGCCTTGACAGACCTTGGTTACAGCTTTTCTGGCCCTGACGCTGTGTGCAGTCCTCAGGAAGAGCCTAAAGGCTGCTCCCAGCCTGCTATCACCGCCTGCCGTGGGCAGCCTGGCCAGGGGGTCAGGGCACAGAGTATCCCTGACAACAACTGCCTGTGGAGTGACAGTTGGGCACTAGAATCTCCCTCAGCTATACAGGCAGACACGGCTCAAGGCAAGAATCCAGAGGGATGAGCCAAACCAGGGTGGGTCCTGAGGACACTACCACAGAGGAGCAGATACCTGTGATACCATGACAAGCCACTCCCATGAAGGACCCCAAGCCAGGCCTACACCCTCCTGTGAGCCCCCAATCAAGAGGTCAAGGGCCTCCTCTGACCCACAGCACCTTTCCCAAGCCCAGGGAGGGTGGAGGACAGGGGCAGGTTCAAATCATGGCTCCTGTTCTGTGGGAGACGCATGGCAGGGGGCTGGACCCGGGTGGGGGGTGTGTGTCTCTCGGCATGCTGTGGGTGCAGGGTGCCCCCTGCAGGATGCGCGGGTTGGTGCAATCTGAGGGCGTTAAGGTAGTCAGGTGGGGAGACCTCTGGGGACAGAGGCTCACTGACTAACCTTGGGGGGAAGGGCAAGGGGCTGAGGAAGGGCTGGATGTCTGAGGGCAGGCACTTGGACAGGGTGAAAGCCTGGCTGGCCACTGGATGTACAGGTGGGAGTCGGCCACAGGAGAGCAGAGCTAGGGCAGACAAGGCTCCTGCAGTGCAGGTGAGGCTGGGCTGGCATCTGGCCAGTCCCTGCTTCCTGCCCCATCCGTGCTCACCCTCGTCACTGGAGGCCTCCTGCTTGACCACCGACAGTGGGGACCGGGTGGGTGGCTTGCCCAGAGGGTGGCGCCGGCTCTTCTTGATCTCCATCTTTAATTTTGAGAATGTAGACGGTGCCTGGAATACAGAGCGCACCGCCTCCGTGAGACCACCTTGGGCCGGCGGAGAGCTCAGTGGGGCCAACAAGCTCCAGCCCCAGGTCCCGGCCTCTCTGCTGGTCTCTCTGCAGCCTTGTGTCCTCAGTTTGGTCACCTCGTGCACGCAGGGCAGAAAGGCATTAGGGGAGAGTCCCCTGTGCCTCTGACACCGTCGCTGAGGGACCTGCTGAGTGCTGTCCCACCCTCGAGCCTACCTGCACATCACCAGCCCGAGTAGGGGTCTCAGGGCGCCCAGGTCCACCCTGCCCCTCCTGCAGCGTCAGCTCCATGGGTGCAGTGGGCTCTGGCCAGGCGGCACCCTTCTGGACGAAGTGCTCGAAGGCCTGCTGGGAAGCGCGGTGCTCCCTGTCTCCAGCAGTGCGGTCACCACGGGGCACCACGTACAGCATGGGGATGATGGGCCGTGGTTTGACCTCGTCCTCCACGCTGCCAGGAGCCTCGGGGGGCATGACATTAAGGGCTGTGGGCAGCAGGCTCTCCTCCGGTGCAGTGGTGGGGGCTGGCGCCAGCACGGGGGGCTCTAGTAGGGGTGGTGGCAGGGGAGCCTCCTCGGAGGCGAAAGGGGCTATGGGTGCTGGCGGCAGGGCCGGTGGAGGTGGCAAAAGGGGGAGATGAGGGTGCAGAGGCCCATAGCTCTTCTTCTTCCGGTCGCTCTTGGCCTTGGCTGGCCGCAGCTTGCCCTTCCCATCCTCTGTGGGGAAAGAGGAGAGTCAGAGACGGAGCCCTGGTCTTGGCTCACAGCCCCCCATGAGCTGCTCAATTTGAGCATGAGGCTGCAGCCCCAAACACAACCCCCAAACCCAAGACTGTGGCCCTGGACTCAGTCCCCTGACCCTAGGCTGCAACCCTGGACATAACACCTAAACCCCAGGCTGTGGGCCCAGACACAGTCCCCCAGCCCCAGGCTGCAGCCCTGGATTGGCACCCAGACCCCAGGTTGTAGCCCCAGATTCAGGCCTCAGGCTCAGACTTTGGCCCTAGACAAAATACCCACGGATCCTAGGCTATGGCTTCAACACAACCCCTAACCCAAGGCTGTGGCCCTTGGCATGGTCCTGTCCCAAACCCTAAGGGGTCATATGTTGAGGTACTGCTAACGCCCAAGGAGCAGGCCTTGGTGGTAAGGGGGTTCCCACTGACACTACCATAGAACCACAATACACCAACTCCCACAAGGGTCCCTGGAGCCAGGCCTGTGGCCCCTGTGAGCAACCTCCAGCCTGGGCAGGAATTGACTGGGGATGGTCAGGGGCCTCTTATGACCCACAGAGCCCTTCCTGAAGCACAGGGTGGGTGGACAACGGGCTTTGGTCAAGTTCAAATCGCAGTGAAGATCCAAGCAGACCCCCTTGGAGCCCCCGTGGCCTCCTCTACAGCAGGGCTTAGAAAAGCACCCACTGTTGGGCTCTGCGAGGGACCACAAGGTGACATGCTTTCTGAAATCATCACTACATGAACAGGAGAGCCATCAAAAAGCAACTGGGAAGAGACGCTGTGCTTATGGGGCTCCTTTTGCTAACCAAAAAGTTGGCGGTTCAAGTCCACCTGGAGGCACTTCAAAAGAAAGGCCTGTGACCTTCTGAAAGCTCACAGCCTTGAAAACTCTGGAGCACAGCTGTATTCTGACACACATGAAGTCACACTCAACCCAAGGGCACTCAGTACTGCTACTACCTGGGGGCTTGCTCCAGTGTTCACCCAGGAAGGGCAGGGGACGGGCTGTATTTTCCTTCACATGTGTCTCAATTTTGTCCATTTTGACAATGAACACATGCACGTGTAGACTGTTTGAAAAGCGCAACACACCACATACAAGTAGTCACTCCAGCAGCCGAAAGTGGCAATAAGTCCCGGAGGACAGCGCTTGGAAGCTCCACCTGGGGGACCCTGAGGGCAATGCTGGGAGTGCCCACCTAGGTGGGGCCACCAATCAAATCACAGTGAAACTGGTGCTGTGGCGGAACTCCACAGAGGGCCATGACCCAATCCCCAGGCATGTGATTATGGTGGGAGCTCTGGTGGTGTACTGCCTAAGGCATTTGACTGCTAATCAGAAGGCTATGGGTTCAAATCCACCAGCCCCGCCGCAGAAGGAAGACTGGGCAATCTACTCCCATAGAGGTATTGCCTCAGAAACCCAAGGAAGGGTCGCTATGAGTCAGAAATGACCCGATGGCAGTGAGTTTGTTTTTTTTGTGACCATGGTGCCTTCCATGGTTTGAGGACTCTGATGTAATGAAATGTCTCATCTGCACAGGGAGATGGGCTAGGTTTCCCAGGTGGGCCCAATGTGATCACAGGGGTCCCGGAAGGCAAAGAAGCTTCCACAGCTGTGGCCAGAGAGAGACAACTACAAAGAGACGACCAGAGGGCTGTTGTACCACTGGCTTTGCAGACAGGAGGGGGCACGAGCCGAGGGGTACGGATGGCCTCTAGAAGCTGTGGGCTGCCAGCAACGGATGCTCCTCAGAGCCTCTGGAAGGAAGAAGTGCTGTCTGCAGCTTGATTTTAGACCTCCAAAACCATGAAAGTATCCATCTTGTACTGAGGAGCCAAGAGTGTGGTGCTGTGACTGCAGCCACAGGAAGTGAGTACCTGCGTGTTCAGGGGAAAACTGGTTCCTCCCACACCTGGGCCTCCCCTTGAAGACCTTAAATGCCTCCCCAGTCTGGTTGTGGCATCGCAGAGCCCTGTCAAGATGACTGCCTGAAACATAGGTATATGGGTGGATAGATGGGTGGACAGGCTGAACTATTAGGTATGTCTATGAAATGGGGAGTGTATCCAAGAACATGTATAGGGTTGGCAGACAATGGTCCTATAAGTTTATGTGAATGATCAGAATTCCCAGGTGTATAGTAGAGCTGACAAGGGGCAAGGTTGTGGTCACTTCTTGGTCACAGCTAGCTACCTAGAGAGACTGAGTAGTTGAACCTGCAGGCTTGGGATCACAGTCGCAGGGGACATCAAGCTCAATTGGCATAACATACTACACAAAACATTGTTCCACCTCCTACTTTGGCGAGTAGCGACTGGGATCTTAAAAGCTTACAAGCTGCCATCTAGATGCAACGATGGGTCTCTCCTCGTCCAGAGCAAAGAAGAAAGAAGAAAACCAAAATTTATGGAAACAATCAGTCCTAGTGACGGGTACACCATCCGATCTGCAGCCTATACAACTATGAGACCAAAAGAACTAGATGGTGCCCAGCTACCATTGTCATCCACTTGGAAGGGGATCTATCTAGGAGATCCTTGATAAAGAGGGAGAACAATGTGGAACAAAACTTGATTATTTGGAGAAGAAAAAAAAAAAAGGTGGTGGGGGGACCAGGTTTGCTGGTCCGAGAGAGCCTGGTGGAACCAATGAGACTATGGCCCCTAGCTGCCCTTCAGGTCTGGAATTGAACCCACACCTGTGGTTTCTAGCCAAACAAAAGATAGGCATATGAGTTGAACATTTACCTCAGGTAGATACACTCCTTGAAGAAAACAATCATGGGAGAAGAAGGGCTGCTTATGCACAGGGAGACAGCTCAGGGGGCAGGAGTGTATGGAGGGATGGACACTGGGAAGAGGTAACTATGGGGAGGAAGTAGGAGGGGAGCTGTTCCATTGTGGTAAACTGTGGTCAATGTCATGAGACAAAGTATATGTGAACTGCTGTATGGAAAGTGAATTTGCTCTGTAAATCTTCACCCAAATCACAATAAAAAAAAAAAAAAAAAAAGTGACTGCCTGGTCATGTAAAGTGTGGCTTATAACTAAGGTGACCAGCCACCCTGGTTGGCCTGGGGGTTCATACTGATAAGGTCTCAGGTGACCACAATGACCTGGTCATCCTGCTGACAGGCGTTGGTTAATGGTATCACTGCCCCTTACAGCCTTCTGCTTCCCCTCTCCCCCAACGAGACCGGAAAAAAAGGGAAACATAAAGAGAAAGGAGCCCCCCTTTGCACTAAATCGGTAACAACGTGAAGCTTAATTAGCTCTGGTTTCCAACACGGCATCGCATTTGACGCTTACTATAAAAACCCGGGCCATATGTCACCCTTTGTTCCACAGCCAAATACACCGAAACCAGCCAGAACTAGGGTAGATGACCTTGGGGAGACAGAGCTCCTAAAGGTGCGAACTGAGCCCCTAACTCTGCCTTCATCAACCCTGGAGAGGACAAGGAGGGCCCTCCCTCCTAGCAGGCCCCTCAGGGCCACGTCACCCACCTGACCTCTGTGGGGATCCCAGCCTGCTGCCATTGAGAGCACTTTGCAGAGGCTCTGGGCTGGGACCCTAGGGGGGCTCCACATCTGGCTCCCCTGCCCATCCACCCATGGCCCCATCTACCCACTGCAACCCCACTTGGCAGGGAGGGGTATGGCATGCCATGTCCTTGGCAAGCACACGTCTGCGTTTGCCAGAGACAAGTCATCAGCCAGAAGGCGGAGGGCACACTGGGCCCACCCCGCCCCCCTCTCTGAAATGTTCGTCTATGCCCACCCCTAAAGGGGAGGGGAGCACCTCTCCCATGCCGTGCCTCCGCGCATGTTCCTTCTCCACTCTGACGTCACTGTCAACACCGGACACCAAGAGCACTGGCCAGGAAGGAAGGGACCAGATGTGTTGCCCACAGAGAGTCCACACACCAGGCAACGGGGGCAGTGGGTTGGTGGCTGGCTGGGCAAAGCCCAGGTGTCAAAGGCACACAGTTTGTTGGAGGCATGTGGGTCCACGCAGAGCCAGGTGGGTTGAGTGGGGCATGTGTGCTCTTGTGGGGCCTGGTGGATTGAGTGGGGCATATAGGTCTGTGTTGGTCTATGTGGTCTGTGCAGAGCCGTGTAGGGCATATGCGTCCATGTGGGGCCACGGACTCTGTGTGGGTCTATATAGGGCCATGTGGGGAGTGTGGGCGCACATAGGGCCACATGGCGTGTGGGATATATGAGCCTGTGTGGGGCCACATGGGACCATGGGATCTGTGTGGTCTATGTGGGGATATGGATCCATGTGGGGAAGATGGTGTGCTTGGGGCATGTGGGGCGCATGGGCCTGTGCAGGGCGCAGAGTTTGTGGCTGACTGCTTGGTGGCCACGGTTTCCTAATGTGTAAGAACAGTGCTGAGTGGCCCGCAGCACTGCTTCTGTTGGTGTGAACACACGAGTAGACAGCTCTGCCACTCTGAGGAAAGTCTGCATCCGCCCTGAGCACAAACGTACCATGTGGAAATCATGTTGTCTGCCCCAGCCTGGCACTGGGGACAGCTGCTGCTCCCCACAAGGACAACAGGGCCGCCCCCGCCCCCCTCCCAGCCTTCATCTCTCCCCCCACCCCCACCCACCAGCCCGGCCCAGAGGCCTGTGGTGTGAACCCCTCTCAGAATCCAGAAGTAGGAGGGTTCCATTCCAGAACACACTCACAGCACCTGGCAAACAGTGGGTGTTCGATAAACACGTGGGGGTGGAGAGGGGAGGGCGGGCATGAAAACAAGAAAGGAAATGAGGCACTGCAGTGGTGGTGGTGGGAGGGGGCCCAGGCCTGAAGGTGGCATCTTTGGCCAAGCAGAAGGTGCAGGCCCTCCTACCACAGCTCTGACTGGCGCCCGCCTGCTACCTGGCTGTCAGTGGGAAGAGTGACCTGAAGAGTGTGTCCTACAGGCGACCACAGGCTGGGGGGGTGGTCCATGCTCATGAGTGA